GGGAGTTTCCTGAATGTGATGTCTTAGATGCGTTAAAGACGACCCGCACTTTTGTCGTTTTGCCGCCGGGCTTTAAGACAGCATGATGGAGTAAATAAAATGAAAAATATTTTCCGTTTTTTATTACTTCAAGGGGTGAAACCTACTCCATGTGATTCATTTTTAAATACTCATTCAGCACCTCTGAGTACTTGTCGCGCAATTCCGGCCTTTTCTCCAGAGTCCTTTCGATGCTTATGTATTGTTGCTGGGCTGCTGGGCGGGAGTTTCCTAAGGCAAGTGCATCCGGGAATTTTGGTTTGAAGGGCAGTTTTACCACGTATCGTCCATCCTCTCGTCTGGTGGTCGTGGTATTGTAAAGTTCTTCGCAGAATTCTTCTTCTGATGATTTGGGTTGAGTGGTTTCTACCTTCTCCTGCTCCCAAAACCTTTTGAGCAGCGTGCTGAGTTCGGGTTCTGTTGCCTCTGTGACTTGGGTGGAGAACGTCGAGATATGTTCTCTGACTGGACCGCTGTATTTGGGACTTATATCGCTGCCTATCACCATATCGATTTTCGCTGGTGTAAAGCAGTTAGGGTCAGCAAGTTTCAGAGACCGGAGATGGCACTAGTCGTGATCTTCTGGCCGAAGTCGAATGAACAAAGCGTTAGCTCGCAAATTTTATTTGAGTTTTGTACTACCATCCCTCCCATTCCAGAGATTTGGTAGTGAGTTTCTCTGGTGGGTAGGCCAAGTAGTTTTTGAATCCGTGACGCCAAAAAAGGTTTTCTGTGACCCTTGATCGATTAGAGGCCGGATTTTATGATATTCCCCTCCGAAGTATATTGGGACTATTGCCGTGGGGAGTAGGGTTGTTGTGCTGCTACATGAAAAATGCGAAGAAGCCTGTTGAGCGTTACAGTCAGGGGGGCTTTTTGTAAGTGCATTTTTAGCAGCCTGCTCGGATGTTGAAGGGTGTTCTTGGTCTATCCGATTTTGAGTCGACATTTGCGCCACGGTTCTTTGAGGTCTTGAGCTGGACCTAGTTGATTGGGATTGTGGTTGGAAATGGAGAAGGGAGTATACGCATAGGAGCTTGCTCTGACAGTCACCTTTGAGGTGGGAGTAAGAGAGGCAATTTTCACAATATTTATTGTCTCTTGCGAACTTGAGGCGCTCCGTTACAGACAGCGCTTTGAACTTCACGCATGTTTTCACTAGGTGATTAGAGTTGCACAATTTTCATGATACTTGACGACTGAGCTCAGTATGAAAAGTGTGGGTATTATTTTTACTCATGAAAGTTGAGTTGTGGTTTATTGGTCTGGGAGTGAAGTTTGGTAGAGGCGTTCTCGCTTTTCCTGGGCGATACGTGCTGAGTCTTTCTGCAACTTCGTACCGGGTTGTTAAGAAGTCATTCATATCTGCCCACAGCGGCAGTTCCTTTCGAGAACTCAGAAACTGTTCCCACAACGAAAAGCTTTCGCTGGGCAGTTTTGAAGAGCAAATATACACAAGTACGGGGTCCCAATGAGAGGTTAGGATTCCTTGTGCTGCTAAAGTTGATAAACAGTTGTTAATCGCGGTTTGAAATTTCTGAATCGATTGGAGATTGAAGAGAGACTTCAGTTGGTTATCAACCAATATTCTGCGGTTCTCGTACCGCACTTTCAATGAGTCCCAGGCTAATTTGAAGCTTTCATCAGTCAGCGGGTATTGCTTGACCATTTGACCTGCCTGGCCTCTCGTTTTTTGACACAAATAGTAGTGTTTCTGGGCTGGTGTTAACTTGGGGTGATATCCATAAACTGCCGTGAACATGTCCCTAAAGGCCGGCCGGTCTTCGTACCCACCATGAAAGACTTCAGTGTCAAATGGTGGTACTTTGAGAAATACATCAGGGGGGTGTGAAGTATTTGTGGGGTTACAGGGTGGTGCTTGTGGGCTGAAAAGCTGCAGAGCGTCTAAAATCTGAGACAAGAAATTTTCGTAACTCTCTGAGCATTTTTTATATTTTTGTTCTATT